CCACCACTTCCCGCATTGGTCATGTGACCTCACAAACGCCTGTGTGCATATTTACATGTCCACTCAGCTGTAAAACGACAACTTGGTTGAGCGGTCTAGTAAACGGTCGTGCCTACCATCTCTGGACTTATTGTCTTTCTGGGTTAGCCTCGCGGTAAAAGGTCTTCAACAACCTAATGTACGACTCATGGTTTGAAAGCAGGACCTCCTCTGACTGTAACACGTGTCGCTTGTACTCCTCTAGCCGCTTGACCAAGAATCCACAAGTGTGTAGACTGTCGCCGGGTAAAAAAACGTTGGTTACAACAAAGTTGAAACCCCACAAACTGAAAGGCAGGTTCAACGACATTTGCAATTCCATTTTACTAACTGAATACGTCAAATGTCAACCCATTTCATGTGCGTATAGGGCAGTTAGCTGACAGCTCATTCCAATGCCTATAAAGACGTTGAGGTATTTGCTACTGCCTTAATAAAAGAATTTTAGCATGATAGACCACATGACAGGAACGGCGCCATCAGGTGACAGAGAACAAAAGATTTGTTGCTCGAGAGTCCCGTGACGATTTGTGTAGAGCGTAAAATGTCTAATCGTGTTAAGATATAATAGGCATTCAAGTTTCTTCATCTTTGCCAGAGTGTGCAAAATAAATCGGAGGGGAAGTTGTCCTAAAACTGTGATTGCTGTGACGTTTTCACTTTAGCCGTCCCGAAACAACTGCAAACACACAAGCTACCTGCTGACATCGTGCAATTTCCTTTTTGTGCAGGACCCATGTTCGTATCCAGACTGCGAGAATTCTGGACTTGACAACGCCTGACTTATAGAGACTACTCAGATCTATCAGGACTATTAAGGTGTTACTACGCGGTCTAAAGGACTTACTCATTCCAAACGTGAGGCTCAATGTACATGTTGCTGCGTGGTAATTGCGGAGTGTCAACACCGTGAATGAAGATCCCAGCCTCCGGTGGGAGACTTGAGGTGGAATGATCTGCTGTCCACTGAATGTCCTCATATTGGAACACCACATATGTCCTCTCCTCCATTCTTAACAGCGCCATGGTGAATGTGTTTTTCTCGAAGGATGCAAAATGCGACACATAAAATGATGATGATACTCTAGTCGTTTACACTCAGTGTTTGAGCAAGACAACGATTTAGCTTCTCGCTTACCCCAGTACCATTGCGTTACTATTTCCCACTTTTAACAGGGACACGTGAAGCGGATAACTGCTTCGCGTGCGTCGCCGGTTCGAACTAGCCACTGCACATGGTCACATTCCAGCATGAATACAATGGCTCACTTCATCATGACGCAAAGCCATCCAGCTTACTTAACCCTGTAGGTTTTGGTTTCTGTTAGACCTAGGCCTGGGTTTGGCGGTTGAGTTTATGCCTCGTAAATGTAGTCGATGCCGCTGCATCCTCCAGGGGCACGTGTAATCTACCTATTTACCCCTTAATGACTCAAAGACACAAAATAGAAAATGAT